TCCTGAAAATAGCATTCTGAAATGTAATGTCTCCACTCTTAGGTGGTTTTATTTAAAAAGAAATTAATTTTTTCCCAACTAACAATTATCCATGTTATCTGAAGAAACTGTCATCTTGCCACGAACTAGCCTTTTGAAGCTCATAAATTATTCTAATAAATTTGGAGGAACCCACCAGGCTTTGCCAACGTAAACACAATCGAAGGGGCTGTCCGGTGTACTTCTAGAGAATCCTGTGTCACTGGTTCATTCCATTTTTACTGAGCAGCAGCAGCAGCAGCAGTTAATAATGCTTGCTGCCTGAAAGCAGTGTATGATTTATCTTTGAAGCATGACGATCATGTATTCTAGGTAACGATGCTTGACGATTGTATGCTTCATATGTGCGGCACTTTTTGGCTTAGATAAGTGAATCCGTAGCCCTGAACCGATTTCCTAATCACTGCATTCATCTGACCTCACTCCAGTGAGGCAGTTGTCATGCGGCCGGAGAGCAACAGTTGCAGCATATTTTTAACTGGTTAAAAAAATTCGACTGTGGGATGTTTTATGTAACGGTCATTTAGAGGCTTCGTCGTTCGGGTTACATTGCGTGAAAAGTTAGTAAATCGGGCCTCCACACAACTTCTTGTATATACTGATCCCAAGACATTAAAGCCCATCTCTATGCCAAAGCATTGCACACTTTCCATTATTCAAACCAAAAAGGCATAACCTTTTACGACACAATCGCAACATACTAACGTTTTGTTATTTCTTCTTGCGAGGAAGGATTGAGTTTATGTGGTCATGCGAAAACGACTGAAGCTTTTGTTTTCTCTGGCTCTACCAATTCTCGTCAAGTTCGTTCAAATTTCCCGGACCCCAGTTCTTCAGTAGCCCAAAACTCAGTTAAACCCTAGTTCGCTAGATGGCACTTGTTTCGAGAAAAGCTAGGTAGCATCTTTACCCCAACCACCTTTTTATTTTGCATTCTATGAAAACCGTCTCTATCAACTTCCCCAGCGCTCCTGCCGAAAGTCCCGGAACTGCGTGAGATGGCAGCCACTAAAGTCTTGCTGGATGATCGGCAGCAGTTGCTAGGCGGTAATTCCGCTGTACGCGTGTATTGTCTGAGTGGAATCGGGCTTTGCATTAAAAAGGGGCTTGGCGCCGTTGTTGCCTGCCATGCAAACCCGCCGAAGTGTCGCTGCACTTACGTCTCTCTGCCAAAACTGCCGCACCCTGGAGACAGTGGCCCTTTATACGAACCGCTGCGTTCACGTTGTCATTCATGTTTTTTTTTCTACGGGAACTGTGGCGTAGTCTTAAGTGTCTATTCTAATGTGCTTCTGTGTTTCCCGGAAAATCCGGCTGAATTAACGAGTCACAAATTGGAATTCAAAAACCTTTCATACGGTTCCACCTCTGAGACTGACCGACCATTGTACGATTGATTGCTTGGCCGCCCTTCTACGTTTTTGTTCTTCCTGTAGTCCGTAACAGAGGGCTCAAATCTCAACTGTATTCAAGTAATTCATTTGGGCCGAACGAACTACCGTATAACCTGTTACTGAGAGTGACATGTTTGTTGTCAGGAATAAGGAAACCTGGCGTCGCATAAATAGTCTCCATCAATTCTAGCGACAGCACGCAAGGGTCAAGGTATACAAAGTGTCTCCTCAGCTTAGCGTTTCGGTCACTCTCCAATAGTTGCAGGCACGGAAATACTGACTATTTTTGGACGACTTTAA